AGTTGTTCCGTTCCTTAATATTAACATATAGGGTAATAACCTGTAACAAGTTATTAGCGTGTATAAAATCCTCCTCCGGAATAATCTAATAGTTGTACGGGTTAAACGTGAGCTTAAGTAATTTAATTTCTATTTTTTTTAATAAAACTGGTTTTTTTTTAAATTAAATATAAAGTTTAATATATAAGTTTCAAAAAGTGGATATTTTGTTTAGCGCATTTAAAATAACGGTAATATCCTTATTAATAATTGTAATAACTTTATAAAAATTTTTCCAATTGCTTTTTTTTTTATAAATAAACATTTTATTATTAATGGAGAAAAATATAAGGAGAATTACTTTAATATCGGGATTATTACAGATATTTAAAATATTATAAATAAAACGTTATAATTTCATTTTTTATTATTATTACCTTTTAAATTATTTATATTTTTTAAATTTATGTAATAATAGGTAATAAGTTTATATTAATCTTTAAGTAAATATTAAAAATTAAGAAAGTTAATATAAAATTATTAACCGTTTTAATAACTATTTAAAAATATAATGCTTTTAAGTTAAAGCTTTTAAATTCGTTAATAATAACCTTATATATTTTACAAATAAAGTTATAATACTTTTTTACCTTTTTAATAAACTAATAAGCCTTTACTAGTACTTAATAACAAATAACTTTTACTATTTATGCTTTATTTCGGAACTTAAAGTTATTAAAATTCGTGCCCGCATTATAAGAAATAACGTTAAGTGAGCTAAAGTAAATATTAATTTAATATTCTTTTAATATTTCTTATATTTTTTAATAAAAATATTTTTTATAAACTTTATTACTTAAAAGTTTATAACCGCATTAATTATATATAAAACTAATTTTCCATTTAAATATATAATATTAATAATTACTTTATAATTAAATTTTATATTTAAATTTTTTAAAATAAATTTAAATTATTAAAAGGCTTTATTTTTAATTTAATAATAATAATAAAACTCATTAATTTTTTTAAAATTATTTATATTAATATTATAACTAACTTTATTTAAAAAATTATACAGTTTATTAATTAATAAATGGCTAAAACGCATATATAAATATTGTAATTTCATTTTTATAAAGTAAATAATATTTTTTAATTAAAATCATAAATATTCTCACTTTTTTTTAATATTAATTATCACGTTATTCTTAAATATTGATTAATTAATAATATTATTAAAATATATCCTTAACCGATTTATATCTTTAAGTGATAAAAAAAGGAATATTTAATTTTATAATGTAAAAATTTATTTTATTAAAAAAATATTTATTGTAATTAATAACTTATTACCGAATTAAATATTAACTTTATTAACATAAATATTATTCATTTTAAGTTATTATTTTTATTAAAATTTAATGCTAAATTAGTTACTTTATCTTTTTCGTGCTTAAATTTTAAATCCAAATCCTTAAGTCTTTTATAATTTATTAAAAATATTGTATAATTTTTTTTAAAAAAGCTTTACTTAACTTTCAAATTTTTTTTTAACTTTTTTTCAGTTGTTTTTTAAATGTTTAATGGATTAATATTTATTTTTCTTATATACTTAATATCGGCGTTTCTAAATTTTAACGAATTATTTTATATTATATTTATTACTTTTATTATTATAATAATATTTTCAATTAATATAATAAATATAATTATTATTATTATTATTATTATTATTTTTATTATTTTTATTATTTTATATGTTTTAATAAACGTATAAAATTTATTTATTAAATTTTTAAACTATATTAATAACTTAAAAAAAGCATATTATAATTAAGATATAATTTAATAAACTTAATATATTATTATAATAAATTATTATTCCTGTTTAAAGTTTAAGCTTAATATTTTTTAATATAATAAAAGTTTATTAAATAAAATTTAAAATACTTTTATATTAATTTTCCTTTTACTTTACTTTTTTGCTTTAATATTAAAAAAAGTAATAAAAATTTAATTATAATAATATTAAACTTTATTTTATAATTAAATATATATTTGTAAAGTATTAAAATTAAAATATATTATAAAAAAATAAATAGTTGCTTTTTTATAAATATAATAAAAAACATTATATAAAATTAAATTTATTATATTTTAATTATATAATAAATATTTAAAAAGAAATAGAATTATTTTTAAATATATTATATAATTTTTTTATATAATTATTTTTATTATTTTAAACTTTTTTAAAGTAATTAATAATAATTAATAAATATATTTTATTAAAAATTTATATTAAAAAAACGTTATAATAAATATTATTTTATTAATTATTAATAAGTATAAATACTTATATTTATTAATTATTTATTTATATAAACAATAAAATTATTTTAAAAAAAGCGAAATTTTTAATAAGTTAATTTTTTCCTTTTTGTTTAACGTTTTATAAGATTGTTAATATTATATATAAATTACTTAATAGCGGTCCAAAAGGTTTAAAAACTTTTTCCAAGATTAACGGGTTAAATTATACTTTTTATATTAAATTATTATTATATATAAAATTATATTTTTAATTATATTTTTATTAAATTATATATGTTAAATTATTAGAATAAATGTTATTAAAGGAAACTTAAAAAAGTGCAGTTTCTTTAAGGAAAAAGGGGGGGGGGGGGAAAAGGTGGTTAATATTTAAAGATTTATGTCACGAACCAACAGCCTGAGAAACCATTCCGTAATAAGAAGCGGGGTTCCACGCCGCTGGGACCGGAAAAACCCTCGGAATACGTAAAGGAGGGTATTGATCTGGGTGATCCGGTGGATCTTGTGGGATCTGGGACCAGATCCAACAAGATCTACCAGATCAACCAGATCCCAAATAACGATGGCTTCAAGTACGATGGAGGGTCTACGGGATATTTAAACCATCATGTATCTAGTCATTCATTTACGTTTCCTTAGCTATTAATCTAAGTCTTATATTTAACCCATATAAGGGGAAGGACTTTAAGCCTTCTTGACGAACACTTTTAACGTTTTATTAACACTTAACCCGTATCGTTACTGTTTACCTAAAATTAAGACCCTAGTTATTACGCTCTAACGGACCTAAATGTAAGTTCGTTACAATAAGGTAATATAATATTAATTACGTAAAAATATTAATATTATATTATTTTATTATAACGAACTTATATTTAAGTTTATTAAAATGTAATAATTAAAGTTTTAATTTTAAATAAATAATAATAATACGGGTTAAATATTAATATAACATTATAAATGTTCGTTTAAAAAGCTTAAAATCCTTTTTTTTATATAAGTTAAATATAAAACTTAAATTAATAATTAAAAAAACGTAAATAAATGATTAAATATATAATAATTTAAATATACTTATAGGTTTCTTTTATCCTCCTTTTAAAGTTATCATGATCTTAGTGATCTTAGTGATTTCGCTAAAATTACCGAAATCATTAAGATTAACGAGATTATTACCTTTCATTAGGTTATCCGAGGTTTAGCCGTTTTTTAATCGTACGTTTTAAAAACCCCGCTTCTATACAAGGTATAATTCCCGTGTTATTAGTTCGTAACATTTATATAATACTTTATTATATTAATATAATTTAAAATATTAATTATAATGGTTTTAATATATTTATATTAATAATTTTTAAATTTATTAATATTAATAATATTTAAATTACTTTTTACTTAAAAATAATTATTTAAAAATTAATTAATTTTTATTTTATAATTATATAATTAAAATATTAAATAAAAGTTATTTAATTAAAAATATATTTTATTAAAATTTATAATTCATTTATATTTTTTATTTTAATTAAGTTAATTATTATAATATAAATTTATATTTACATTAAATTTTTTAATTAAAATATTATTAAATATATAAGTTAAATAAAAAATAAAAGTTTAATTAATAATAATAATAAATTTAAATTATAATAAATAATAAAAGATTTAAATAAATTAAATAATAAAATAAATTAATAATTTATTATAAATAGTAAATAAGTAAAATTAATATATTATTAATAAAAAATAAAAAAAACTTATTCTTATATAATTTAAAATATATAAGTACTTTTTCCTATTAAATACGTACTATAATAAGGTACGTATTTATGTCACACAATTATTAAATTTAAATTTAATTAACTTTTTAAATAATAATTGTATTTATAATTTTTTATATTATTATTTTTTTATAATTTTATTTTATTTTATTTATTTAATTTTAACTTTTTATAAAATTTAAATATAATATAATTAATTTTAATTATTAATTAAATAAAGTTTATTATTTTTAATAAATAATAAATCATTATAAGAAAATTCTTTTAATTTTTATTATTTTTATTTTTAAAAAATTAAAATTAAATATATTATTAAATTGAAAATTAATTTTAACATAATATTTTATTAAATTTTTAATAATAAATTTATATTTCTTTTATAATAAAAGTTTAATTTTAAAATAACGTTAAGCATTTATTATTAAATTATTAAATAATTGCTTTTAAATACGTTATTTAACATGTTTTTTTTTTAAAAAAAATATTATTTAAAAAATATATATTATAATAAATTTTAAAAGAGAAACGGTTATTAGTTTTAAAACTTATAAAAAAAATAACGGGTTTTAAAAAAAGAAAAGTTATTATATAATTTATTATAAAGTTAATTTATAAGAAAATATAATTTTAAAATTAATAAAAAGTAAAAAGTTTTAAGTGTAAAAAGCTATTATAAAAAAAATAAGAAATTATTTTTAAAAGTTAAAAAACATAAAGTTAAAATAAAATTAAAACTGTAAAGCATTTATTAAATATAATATTAAATTTAAAAATAATAATTTATTTTAATTAATTATTTAAGTAAATAAAAAAAAATAATTTTAATTAAAATTTATAATAAAAATAAATAATTATATAAATTAATAATTTATTAATAATATAATAAAAACATTAAAAATTAAATTAATTAATAAAATATTTTATTAAAAATTTTTAATATAATATAAAATTATAATAAAATAATTATTATATATAAAAAAAGTAAAATCCTATTTTTTTAATATTTTTTTCTCATAAATAAGGTTTAACACTAATTGCTACTTATGCGCGATTTAATCTTTAACCCATTATTCCTCTTGTAAAAAGCCTGGAAATAAGTACTTAACCTTTTTTAAGGCTTCCGGATTTCGTCCTTCGGGTTTCGTGCAGAACATTACGGCACCTTTGCTAGTGCCTTCCCAGTGCTTTGCAGTCACCAAGTCGCTGTTCTCGCGTTTGCATAATTCGTCTAGCACAGCACCCACTAGCCGGCGGGCGTTCTTGCTGTTGGTCTCCATATAGTGCATAACCATGGACACATCAACATCTTCGGTAGTGTGCCAGCAATCATAGTCGGTAGCCATGCAGATGACCTGTAACGCCATCTCTGCTTCTCTCGCCAGCTTAGCTTCTGGTAGCAGCGACATGCTAATCACGGAACCCCCCCAGGAGCGGTATAGGTTCGATTCGGCGCGTGTCGAGAATTGTGGCCCCTCTGGTGACCAAGCGTAGTTAGTAAAGTATACGAAGATCTACGTGGTCGAGCTTCCTAGCCTACACTACAGGACACTGTAGGTGGAAATAGGAAGTTTACTTCAGTACCTACCCATGCAAATCGCAGTTCCACTGCCGTGTAATACCACACCATCCCCCTGCATAGACTTTGCGCATTGACGTACGATCTGAGCAATCTTGTCGTCGTAGGGGTCGCCGAAGGGAACATGGCCGACAAGCCCACCCTCGAAGAAAGTTGAGGGACGGATACCCTTGGTTCGGTCAATAACCTGGTCCGGCACGACAAAATCCATAGGCTTGATCTCCTCGCGTAGGGAACCTACGGCGGAGAAGGCAACAACGCAGCGCACACCAATTCGGCGTAAAGCTGCGATATTGGCCCGCGCAGGTATCTCATGGGGGGCGTATTGGTGGTAAGCACCATGTCTGGCTAAGAAGGCCACGAGCACGCCGCTATGCTCGAGGATCAGGATGGGAGCGGATGGATAGCCCCAGGGCGTTAAGGGGTTGACGCGGGCGATGGGCGTGTAACCGTCAATCTTGTACAGCCCAGTACCGCCTATGACGGCAATATGGACAGGCCCTATAAATATAGACTAATGTATTAGCCAGTGACTCAGATGAGGGTGTCGCCAAATAGAGAACGGATGATGAGCGAGGGCGGAGCAGCTTGGGAAATCCTCACGGTCAAAAGATTCTGGAAGGTCGGACATTCCCCGACGTTTGTTTCAACGATTGGATGTTGATCGCTATTACAATTCTGCTTTTATCTAAACCTTGAGAAAAAGAAATAGGAAAGCAAAAAGGCGCCTATATAATACTTCTTTCGTTGCTACTGTCGCAATTTCTAGCTAGCATTGCGATAAAATATTTACGATAAAATATTTACGATAAGAGGATGCCCCTCTTTGTGGAGAACCGTGGCAGCGTGGATATCGCTTACCATAGTAAGTACAATACCTAACGTAGCTTGGCATGTACAATATGCACGTACCGAAATTCCCTAACGTAACCACGTGCCCCGAGACCTAGGTAGGAGGTATGTTACTATGTAGGTACCTAAGGTACTGATGAAAGTTACAATTTGGATGCCCTCAACAATCATGCCAATATGATATCTATTCTCACACGTGCTCGAGCTCGACACATAGACACCATTTCCATCTCCGTGTCGACCGCGGTTAATGTCAAGGTACTTCATACTCTCTGCGAGGTGACGATCGCTACGGATGAATTGCCGCTGTAAGATGATAACTTTCACTATCCCGGCTAATGAGGCCAACTAATAATATTACACCCATACCCGCTCCCATCTGTGTAAATGCTTCCATTTAGGGAAATGAAAGGTTAAGGGATACTAGCTACCTAGATGCACCATACTTATGGTATACCAGCTGTCATGGTGTTATACTTTATGGCCGGATGAAGTGTCGGGAGAGGATCTGAGGATTCGCGTAAGCCAGCTATCAAGATCAACGGCATCCCATGGCAACCGGTGACTTCTCACTTCTTTAGTTGTCTTCTTATGTGCACAAAGGTTTCGTTTGCCTGACGTTTATCGCGATGCATTTCAGCACCTTGCTAAGAGCGTGCCTTATATTCATGTTCCCTCAGCTTGGAATTTCCCAGACAATTGTTGTGGATGGCAAAGTCATCAGTCAGTTAGATTGAGATTCTCTCACATCTAAAATATATATCAAGCCTGTTCCTAGTAGACTAACCTGCCACCTACTCGCTTGAAGACGCCGACGAATCCACTGTCTCTCCCGCTTTCGTATCCGTCGATGCTTCATCCTCTAACTCGACAGCTGACCTCTTTCCAGGGGAAACCCGCCAGCTTACCGACGCTGTCCTAGCGAACCTCACTGATCTTGGACTAACTAACATTGTACTTTTTAGGTTTGCTGATCCTGCGACCGCCCCTAACCAATCTATCATTGGACCCTGCAAATCCTTTCCGGGTGAATTTGTCGTTTTCCCTGGTCGCATCACCAACCGAGTATTCGACCTTCTCCTTGGTGGCAGTCTCATTCAGACTAAACCGCTCGCTTCGCCATGCTACACTGACTTCGGAAATCAAGATGCGGTAAAGTGTGCTGAGATAACGTCTCATTGGTTGGATAGCTCATACATTCAGTAAGTGAACTTGGTCATGCCCTTCACATCCCCCGTACACCAGAACCGGGGCTAAAACCGCCGAGCACAAACGATCCAACTTCCATCAATGCGATACTATTTGAGGGGACTTCATGTGTGCCACACACAATAAACCCGTATGCTCTGAATTGTACTATTGGCGCATACCCCACGATGTCGGTCAATGTCACTACCGTTGCCCAAATTCAACTTGCTATCAACTTGGCACGTAGTCAGAATTTACGACTTGTTATCAAGAATACAGGGCATGACTACGGCGCAAAGAGCACGGGAGCAGGTGCCCTTTCTCTATGGACTCATAACATGAAAGACATCCGGCACTACGAGAACTACCAAGAAGGGTCTTATATAGGGCCAGCTTTTAAGATGGGGGCTGGTGTTCAGGTATTTGAGGCATATGAAGCTGCGCATAAGCACAACCTTACAATTATTGGCGCAGAGGGAAAGGTATGGTGTTTATTAATTTCCTCAGGGCGGGCTAGTGATTAACGCTGACGTTCATAGACGGTTGGCCTTACTGGAGGTTATATTTTGGGTGGTGGGCATTCTCCTTTATCAAGCCTGTACGGGATGGCCGCAGACCACGTAAGATCATTTTTACGACTTTAATGACCGCGTGAGCTAATACCTTGGGAGGTTCTCTCTATGGAATTAGTCACAGCCGATGGCCGTTTTGTTACGGCTAGCGAAAGCTCCAACCCTGAGTTGTTTTGGGCTCTGCGAGGGGGAGGGGGGTCGACTTATGGAGTGATCACATCCATGGTAATCAAAGCATTTCCCGAGATTCCTGTCTCAACAATGACATTTAGTGTGTCTACCGGAGAAAGTCTGTCTGTGGACCAGTTCTGGGAAGCATTTCGCGTTTATTTCGAAGGCCTTGCCAATTACACCGACGCTGGAAACTATGCCCATTTTGACCTCAATGCGACGAGCGGTAACTACGTTTGGAATATGGCACCCTGGTTCGCTCCATACATGTCTAAGGCGGGATTAGAAGTTCTTGCCAAACCCTTCTTCAGGGCTGTTGACAAGATTGGGGTCGATCTAAAGCCCGTTTATGTGGAATATACGAACTTCTACGATGCTTGGAATAACAGCTTCCCTCTTGAACTGTGGGGGTCAAACCTTGCTAGATACGGTAGCCGGCTTTTCCCACGAGAAAACTGGGAAGACTCAACGAAACTATCATCTACTTTCGAAGCTATTCGCCACGTAGTAGATAATGGTGGTGTGGTATCTGGGTACAATGTTGCTGCTGCCCCCAAGTCGGGATATCCTGATAAGTATGTGGCTCAAGATTATGCCATCATTTCTGCCATTCTCCCGGTTTGTTTCCCACACATCGAAAATCGCCATTGCTGATTCTGCTTTGTTACAGTGCTGTTAATCCGGCATGGCGTGAAACCGTATTACACGCTATCGACATTGTGGCGTGGACTCAAGATATGTACACTGAACTCATCACGATTTGGAGTAACGTCCTGACGTCTGACTGGGGCATGCTATGGCGCTCGGTCTCGCCTGGTTCGGGGGCGTACCTTTCGGAATCAGACTACATAGAACCCGGCTTCCAGCAGTCATTCTGGGGTAGTAAATATGATCGACTGTATAAGCTTAAGAAGAAGTTGGATCCCTGGGATGTGTTTTATGCTCAGAATGCGGTGGGTTCAGAGGACTGGGAAATGGGGGATTATATATTTGGGAATCTACCGTCGCAGAACAGTCGACTGTGTCGGAAGGGGATGAACCCTTCGCAGCAAAGGGAGAACGAGGGCGGGTTATAAGAGGTATGTAGTCCGCGCGGGTGGGCTGCAGGAGGCTCAGTCTTTTGTCTCGAGGCCTAAGCTATATCCTTTTTTTTTTTCTTAATAATAATATCTAGCTAGTAGGTAGTATATTTTAGGTCCGTACATGTATGTCCCATTTTCAAGTAATTTACTTGATACCTTGTAGTACTTATGTAGGTAGTTGTGTATCTGAAGTAGGTACTCATAAAAGGTGGACACGTACCTGGTAGGTACCTTTAGGTACCTATTGGTCCCACTTGATCGTAAGTACCTAAGGACCAAGGTACGGTACCTACCTTTTTAATCCGTTATCCTCCGTAAATCGATCGACGCCAAACTTTTTAACCAAAAATCATCATGTTCGTAAATTTAACATCTGTAGCCTACCTCTAAAGCGTTACTGAGCATGGATTTCGTCATCTCATACGATATTTCGTCTTTATAAATTCGCAGCAATCATAGCTAACCTAGAAACGACCCGCTACAGTTCGCCCAATTTATCGCTTGGAGGTTTCTATGGCGCGCCACCATATGAGTTGTATTTGACCTACAACTCCATGTAGTGAGTGCGTCGTTAGCCCTGAGACCGTTGTGACTTCGCCGGTGTTGCAGACAAAATTGTCATGGCATCATCTCCTTCTGGGCTCATCAACCAGGTAGACCTTGATACTACTAAAATGTGGAAAAACGACTCTATCGAGGAGCGTATCTTCTCAGCAGCTTTGATATGCCTGGAAGGCCACTACAACCAGTCCCCTTCAATGGGCCCCCAATCTATGGCAAAGGTTACCAGTATCATTTCTAAAACCTTGGAGAAAACCCACACATTTAAGGACGTTAGGTGAGAAAGAGAAAAACAAAAGGGGTGGAGGGGGAACCTCATGGATATGCTACTAACACCTTAGTCGCAGGGAGGTCCTTTCGAGAAATGTGCGGGTTTGGATATGGCTACGTCGGGCCGTGTCTGCCGCAATATGTGACCTCAATGAGAAGTCTCTTGGTGTACGATCGGAACCTTTTGTTCAAACCAAGTTCCTCGACATCACTACTCCAGAAGTCACTGCTCTGATTATCAAGAATTACGTGCCTCTGAAGGAAGCATTGCAGATGCTTAACAAGCTGATGCATATTGCTCGAAATTTGCTTGTCACTACCGACCCAGAGGTCCCTCAGGATTTGTCTGCAGCTATCCATTTCGACCATGAAGTATATGAATCCATATGTCTCTGTGTCAACGTCACCAGCAAAGGAATTGATGGCGAAATGCCCGAGGACGAAGCGTCGAGAGCAAAGCTGAACGAGATTACCGAATTATGTAGGTGGTGCCTCTCACTAAAGTAATTTGCATACCCGAGGTAGCTAACTGTTGGTAGGCAAAAAGGTCCTTGTGACATCACTACAGCAAGCTCACAACTGGATTGCCAAGAATGACCGCAATAAGATGTTATTCTGGTACAAAGTACTGATTGAATCCCCTGACGCGGAGAGCAACCCAGGTCCAGAGGATCGACACGAGTCGGTGCTAGACTACCCAGCCCCCAGAAGTATTTATCTGCGAGACGAAATATCCAATTGGCTCAAAAGATCTTCGCGAATGTGTGATGCGGCGATTAGCATTTGCAAAGAATATTTTGACGCTGAGAGCACTGACAATAAGGATCAATGGCTACCCCATGACGAGAATCTTCTTGCCTGGAATTACACTCCGCCTGAAACCTGGGCCTGGCAACCAGATACGTATGACGATGCTGCCGAGCTAGTGTCAACGTGGAATCCCGAAGAAAACGACAAATTTGAGCAGGATCGGGCATATGGCCGTGTATCGCACGAACTTGACAAGTGGTGGTATGGCGCGCGCGTCCCTAACTCCAACGACTGGAGCCTAACAATGTACTCGACTGTTGACTCTGTTCCCCAGCGCATTAAAGAATGTGAATCTAGCCTGATGCAACGCTATGCAGCTGCTGAGTCTCAGGAGGAACCTAGTGATTCTATTGAGCATCATGCAGAGGAGGAACATAGTACTGAGTGGCAAGGCCAGACGTCCCAATCGGGTCAGGCCTTCGCCCCCGAGTACGACGAATATGAGGAAGAAGCTGACGACGACGATTCATACGGCGAAGGGCCGATGACTGGTCTTCTAACTGAGGTACCAAATATACTTGACCCTAAACAGATAGAGGCGCTTCATATGATTGTCAAGTCGTGCATATTAGACTCGGCGGGTTCTGGGTTGACCCCATACGGTGAGAACCTGCAGCAAACACGTTGCCGTATCTTTCTTGCCACCGACTGCGGCAGGAACCTCCTGAGAGAGATGCTTGTCTTCATCGCTGTATGGGAAAAGGACGAACAGTCGTTAATTTTTCAGATTAGCAGCCAGATAGTACAGGCGATCCACGAAAACTCGCTCATCCCTTACGCATGGATGGCGCTTCGAAGCCCTAAGGACATCATCTCGCCAGCGCAGACAGTTCTGCTTAGACTCATTACCCATCTATTCCGCACAGCTCTGTTTCCTCCTAAGGACTACGATCCTTTTCCTGATACAAAAGTGGAAGATGTGGAAAAGATCCTTGCAAACGAAGACGTTCGTCTTGGGAAAATGCTGAACTACCTATACGGCCTGTTCCGCAGTCGTATCGTCCCGGAGTGTGTCGCTTTGATGCAGATCCAGGGCGAGGTTCGCAAGGGACGACTGGACCCTGCAGACTTCCCAGTTGACAACTGGGATCTGGAAAGGGCCAAAGACGGCCTTGTGCAATACCTTGACTTTCTCTACACGGTTGCAGATATCTACCCTCTCCGTCAACATCTTATCGACTACGAGGCTGTCTATGAACTCCTTAAGCTGCTTGAGGGTCTTGATATTGGGGTAGAGAAAGCACCATTTCCAGGAACCCGACGAAATGAGCCTACTACTACACCCTCTACTACCACATCAACGCCCCAGGCATCATCGTCTAATAATCCGCCTCCGCCTCCGCCGCCTCCGCCGCCGATATCCGATCCGCCTCACGAGTTCCCCTGGTCTGGTATCAAAGGCCAAGTTCTCTCTATACTTGCGGCTCTCTTACAGCCACCACCTGGTCAATCCTCGCCTGGAAATCCGACGGTACAGCTTCAAATTTTACAACACAATGGAATTGTTGCCCTACTTAACTGTTGTTTGTATGACGATAACAATCGCTTTTGTCGTGAGCGTACGCAGCTCTGCCTTAAGTGGCTTATGGACGGCTGCCCGGATGCCTCGGCGTTTCTGCAGAACCTTGTTAATGCTAATCAAGGACAGGCGGTGGCACGTCCGCCGGCAGGCAGCAACTTAACACAAAGTGTTAGGATAGATGGTGTTCCCGGCGAGGTTAGGGTCCAGGTGCGCAGTTCGAGCGCACCCGCGGGAGAAGTTGGCGAGGTAGTAGGGGATGGCGCAAATTTAAGGACTAGGTTAGAGGAAAATAAGAGTCGCAGCGAGGAGCTTGTTAACGACCTCTTGGCGTTAACCGTTGTCGACGAGACTGGTAAGATGACTATTGCACCTGATGGGGATGAGACAGAGGATGACGATTTCATGTGATGGGTACCTAGGCTAGGGATTAATGTTTTCTTCCCTTTCGGCCCCCTCCCCTTTTTTTTTTTTTTTTTTCAATTTAAAAAAGGGATGAAAAGAGTTATGATGTTATCTTGTGAACCGCTATATAATTTAATTCAGCGGTCAAACGGCTTGAATGACCAGAGCACTATCTACAAGATGCTCATTCACCTTACTGGTTTAAGAGGGGTTGCTACGGGAACTATATTCTACCTACGGCTCGCTTATCATACATTGCGCCTTGATATTGGCCGAAATAGCCTTGACGTTCTTCTTGGCTACCAGGAGTACCGTGTATATTATTATCTTAGTTCACAATTATAATCAGCAATGTGAATAATAGGCCGAGCATTATCTTCCACCCCTAGCTCCCACCCAACCGAGCTATCTATTCATCCTAGCCGCCTATATTTAGGGTATTGTTCTATAGCCGTGTACCTCGTGTCTATCATATACGACTTGTCTCACTATAGTCTAGCGTTATGATCCAGAGCTTTTGCACTGTTCGGTTATACTCTCGAGTAACTCGACATCCCGTACAGCTAGGCCTAAGAGTAATTCATTTGTGAGGCCCTCTAATATGTTGGCACCTTTCGAGCAAAACTTCATCTTAATGAATGTGTCCATGCCATCTTTATCCTGGACACGTAGCAAATCTCCGATTCTTGAAAGTTGCAAGTCTAAACTTTTACTGTTATGCTCCCCTTCTTCCCGAGCCGTACTTCTTGCAACGGTCTCACAATGTAAATTGTACGAGTAGCTGTTGTTAGCAACTGCTCTTGTTTCCACCTGGGCTTCGCTTGATACCGCGCCGGGAAGCATGTTATTGATATATTGACGACGGAACATACTTAAATTCTGATTCTCTACACGTAGTCCTCGGGGTGATGCGCTGGAGAGTCTCAGAGTATCGACTGTGGTGGAAATATTAATCGGCTGAAGATTTGGTGCACTTTGCATGTTTCCCGAGGTTCTGATACTCCGGGAATTACCAAGTAGGTCGGCTTTGTTGATAATATTTTCTGCGGTGTCTAGACCTTGTATCATATTCGCGCCATTGTTGAATTCCTTGGCGGCAGTGTTTATGGAACTAGGTTTGCGAGCTTGGGTTGGTTGCACGTCGGAGGTATTCCCCATGAGCAGCTGCTTGGATGCCCTAATGGTGGTAGCCGTCTGGGATTGGTTCTGAATCACATTGAATTTGATCCTCTTTGGGGGATTAGGCTTTACGTCGATATAGCTAGCTGCTCGCTTTTGACCTTCTTCAAACCTTACCAATGGTTTCTCAGATGAGATTACACCGGGGTCCAATTCTCCGTGATTGCCATCTACGGTGCTTGTGTTTGACTGTGGTATTCTTCGGGAACCACGGTTGGCAACGGGGCGGATAGTTCTAAAAGCCCCTCTGGATGATTCCAATTCTTTAAGGGTGGTGGCGCGCAATGCGAGGAGGTCATGTTCAGGTTTCTGAGCTACTCCGTGCTGGGGGAATACGGTCAGACAAGATGGCCCTGATTTATCGACACTATCTAAGTTTAAAGAGGTGGCTGGCCTTGGCGGATGAGTGAAACTGCCATCGCTGCCACTACGGGCATGGGGTTTGAGGTAGATGGGGGCGGAATAAGGCCGGTCTGACGATGGCTGCAACTGCAATGATGGGACGGGTATTTGGCGTGACTCAACCCTGTTCATAATGCCTCTCTGCATTCGTAAGGGTACAGCCCTCGAACCTCCCTGTATAGGACGATATTCCTGAGGCCACATCGGTTGAGGAAGATAGCCATAGGCGGCCGGAATGGAGACAGCATTTTGAGAATAACTGAAATTAGACTTGTGTGAAGTGGAAGCAGAAGTGGAATTGGAAGATAGAGTTGATAGATCTTGAGTAGGCGTCGAGAGCATCGAGAGCCTGCGCTGATTTTCTTGCTGCATTGTGAATGCCATATACTCGTCGTATATCTAAATACCTATATGGTTAAGAGTTCTATTCTAACTGTGCTCTGGGCGAATAAGGTAGGTAAAGTGAAGATGGAACAACGGCATGTACATTTCTAGATTTCTACCTACCTTAGGTACCTATCTAAGGTACCCAGTATGCACATTGTGTTAGAAATCAAGTAACATGTATACATGTATACGAGACGAGGATTGGAACTGCCATTTTTATATATATTGCGTTGTATTATAATGAAGAAAGACCTAGGTACCTGCACCTTCCAAGCGCATTAAGTTATCTACCTAGATACATAGATACTTGTATAAGGTACCTGCTACATGTACCTAGGTTACGCTAGGTACAGTCTACTACCTTGAGGCTTGTATTTAGTTAGTGATGAGCACTGGCCAACGCGCATTTCCCATTTTTTGGGGGGGTTTGGAGCAACACGACTCGGCCCCATCTAAACTACCTAAATCAATCTTTCTATTGTCGCGGTCGCGATTTCCTGCATATACGTATTCCTAGGTAAGCTTTGCGACTTGCCTTCCCTGCGCATCGCCGAATCCTTACAACTTCACTTATAACTGTTAATTTTCTTCTTCTTTTTTTCGTATTGGCCGTCCAATCACCTGCGCAGTCAAAGGGTCGGCAGATGGTACATCTAGGAATTGCGCAAACATTTAACATCCAACTAGGTAGGTAATTATTCAATTATTCGTTCATCATCCACCATTCACCTTTACCATCGTTGGCTCAACACGCAAGTCGCACCAGTTCGGGTTGGAATAAGCCGGAAAAAAAAAAAAAAAAAAAAAAAAAAAACCAGCGATCGATGCTCTAACTACTCTCTCAGTCTATCACGACTTCTTGCAATTCTCATGAAAATTTCCAGCACAGATTGCGGCGACGGCGACTTGTTTTAGATCAATATGGCCCCGAATCGTGGCCTGGGGGCCAAGGATGTTTACGTCCACGAAATCGACCGCACTCCAGAATACGTGGAGTTCATCCAGAAGCTCACGGCCTTTCATGAGAAACGTGGTACCTCGTTCGAACCTGAGCCCCGACTTCCTACCATGCACGGCCATGTCAATGTCGATCTCTTGAAGCTCTACAAGGCTGTCATCTCTAAAGGAGGCTATGACGAACTCAACAAGGTCCAGAAGGCCTGGGGTGCCCTTGCTGCTGAATTAGGCATGCATCATACTGACAGCAAAGGCACCGGTCAGCTCTCGTTCCAACTGAAGCAGGATTTCTATCGCTACCTCGCCGCCTACTGGATCCATGATCAGCATGGTAGGGAACCCCCTCCCAAGGAGATTTTAGAGCAACAGTCCTGTGCTAGCAAGTTTGGGCCTGTTCTAACCCGAACTGTCGAGAATTTCAAGCATTCGGCGAGCCGCTCCGGGATGGAGACGCCCACACGGGACGAGCGTCAGAGCGAGGGTACTCCGGTTTCGGGAAATAGGGCATCTGGTCGTCTACGTGAAGCACCCCCCCAACGAGTTCCCTTTCAGCCTGAGACAGGTCCGAGCCGCCAGCCTAGACAAGCATCCTCGCATCATGCCACGCCAACAGCCGCGAATTCTACTGCTATTAATACTGGCCATGGCTCTAATTTATCTCATGCCCAGCATCCCAACCATCACATGCCTCAGCATCACAATCCTAACAACCCTCTTCATGTAATACAGGCCCAGCAGGCCGCTGTCCGTGGCGCCTCGAGTGCATTTACTCCTACGAACCCCGAGACTGCCTCACGCCTGGTAGAGTTATTCGAACCGCGTCCTCCAATATCCGTTCCTCTCCGTCCCGTGAGCACACCGGGGAACAACCCAGAGTTTGTCAAGCGCCAGCGTCAGTTGCGTGCAGCCCCTGGTGCTCCTGATGCGCAACTACCAGTTCGTCCAGCCATCCCCGGCATCGGTTTCGAGGGCCCCAATATCTACATGCGTTGTCTTCAAGCGCTACGTTCAGGCATCCCTGCTGAACAGTCGTTCGCACTCAATCACCTTGTCAAGATATCATTCGAACGTGGTGATAAGTATAAATTCGAGTCTTTTCTTGGCTTAGCCGAAGGCCTTATTGAGAAGGCACTCGAAGTTGGTAGTTTATTTTATCATATCGAATGGCAAATTGCCTATTTTAACGATCCAGATACTTCAGATATAGCTGTTCTTGACGGGCTTAATGGCACGGGCGACATCCTTGAGCGGATTGCGAGGCTACCCCCAAAGTCGATTCTCGATCATATGCAGTCCTCTGACTTTAGCGACCGCCTTCTCCGGATCACCGAAGCTGTTCTTACCATCCGTAACATGGTCATGCTGGTGGAAAACGCTATTTACATGGCCGATGTCTATCCTCTGAAAGATCTGCTTTGCATTCTTCTACATCTCCCAAATCTGGAGATGCTTGTTGAGATTAAACATTTCGCCCTAGACATCGCCGAACAGCTTACCCCTTGGCTCATACTCGACTCCGACGACCCGTTATATCGAACACTGTTGGCGCAACTAGACTCAACCGATCGGGGCACCATTCTGACGTCCCTACGTGCCATAAGCCGGATATCAATGAATTTAGAGGCTACAAACAAGATGCAGAACGTCCCAGCCGTGGTTCTGCAGAATATCATGAACTGGCTGCTCCTTAACGATGAGGAACTTATGGACGCATGCTTGGACTTCCTTTACCAGTATACAGCAGTTGTGGCTAATGTTGAGTCCTTACTCAAAGCCGTGAACATGGAGCACGTCGTACCCCATCTAGTCAGGCTCCTAGCTCATGGGGCAAAGCGAGTTAAGGAGGATAGGGTTTTAGAACCAGAACGAAAGGCACCGGCATCCGAAGAAGTAGCTGCACTACCTCTAGATCTTCAGGAACGGCTAACCAACACAGATGAGCCCCAGAGGTGTTACAACTGGCTCCAGAGTCTATTCGAGGAGGACAGTGAATCTCATATCACGCAGATTGCTATATGGCAAGCCTACCAAAACTCTTTCAGGGCAATTGCGAGTAGCTCAAGGAATATGCTTAGTGCGGCAGATTTTATTAGGAATGTTAGCCATGTGTTTGTCAATGCGCGAGCCCAGATTATTAGGCGGCAACGGGCTGATCAATCGGATCTCTTTATAATAGAAGGTATCCGTGCGCGAGCACTACCCATTAATCCCGAGACAAAAGAGGAATACTGCCCATGCCGGTGGGTGGTAGCCAAGGGGCCATATCTGAAGAAATGCAATCAGTTCTGCCTTGGTGGACAGGCGATGTGGCACCATGTCTTGACTACCCATTTAGGCGTCGTTATTGGTGAAGGGGGTAAGATTGAGGACAAAGAGATAAACACATCTTGCGACTGGGAGGACTGCAAGAAATATTCAAAAATTACGCAAATCAAATTATCCGAACTAGCACGCCATCTGAAGACGCATTTCCCCTCGACGCAGAAGCGCTCCTTCGCCGAGGGGCCAGAGGCAGCGGCAAAACGGCAGCGTAAGGCTTACATCACCCCGGCGAAGACCATGAGCCTCGCCTGGGAGCAGACCATTGTTACTAGGGATGAGAGGAACCCCAAAGTGGAGCAAGCTGCTGGCATCCCGCTGAGTGCCGTGTTGGTACTGCGCAACATTGCTCGCAACGTAGTCAAAACAGAGTCAGAGGAACAACTACTCAGAAAGCACGAAATGGGCGGCGAAGGAGGCGGCTGGAATGAGAAGCTCTTCCGCCCTGTCATGGCTCGCCTATTTGAGGTCATGACAGAAAATAAGGCTTTGGTAAGTTCTCTACTGATTATTTACTGTTAATCCTCTTTTCTATTGCGTACTGCCTTTGTCTTGCTTACCTTACTAACTAACTCTTTACTAGGCCGACTACATTACATCGCTCTTACAGTTAGTACAAGATGACTAGGAAAACCAAAACAAAAGAGGGGGGACCAGGATTGTGGTTTAATTCGACGAGCAGGTCGGCCTCCTTACGTGTAGGAATAATACCCAGGCGTTTCAGAGTCGGTCGGTTGGAAGGCAAGGCGTTCTAGAATTCGTTTGCGAGTTCTTTGCGCTTCCAGAAGCACAAGGCAAGGATGTATCAACAATTAGCATACTAAAGGTCTCCCTACATGATGGTACCAGGCGGCATCTAGAATACATAATAAACATTGCCGTGTCAACTCTGCGTCGCTTCTAGCTAAGCTGCTAAATAAATGCTTTTCAAATCCTCACATTCCATTGACTCTGGCCTCATGTAAAATAATTTGTACTAATTTTATTTATACCTGTTCGTCCGGTTTTGATTACAGTTTTACAGATAATTCAATCAGTTCCACTGAGTTCCTTCGGCAGCAATGCTAGGTCGGCTGTAGCCAACTTGAAGACCACTGGACGCACTCTTTCGCCGAGACTCCTAATCCCGCTTTCCAGCCTGTCCCTCACGCACGGCCTGGAGGATAAGTTCCTTGGCCTTCTCACAGCCTTCCCTAGGGCCTGTAACTTCAATGGGCTCATCTCTGGCTTGGTCGCGTGGCACGTTGATCTTACATCCGCTCTGTTTACGGATCGAATTGACTTTGGAGCCACCCGGACCAATGACATGGCGATATGTGGATGGGTCTGGTAGGACAAGGAAGCCAATCGTGTTGTTCTTCTGAGCCTGCTCAAGTGCTGCCGTGATTGCCTTCTTCGCCTTTTCAATATTATCAGGGTTACCTCTTAATACCCACGGAATATCACCATCTTCCGACGAAGCACTATCCATGACCGTCCAGTGGTGTGCATCCGCGGCTGATTCTGCATCATCCGTGATTAGGGGGAGGGAACCAACGTCCGCTCTTGTGGATGCGGGCTTAGGCTTCGCCGGCACAGCTTGCCCTGCATGATCTACCGTAACTTTGTAATCATTTCTAAGCCTGCGGAAGAATTGTCCATTTTCTGAAATGGCATGATGATATTTCCGTGGGATTTGTATTGTCTCGCCCTGTTGCTCCTTAATGATGGATGATATATGCCCCTTTGCCTTCTCGACGTTGGCAGGCTGACCTGTGAGCTTCACACCGGTTAGGTCACTTCCTTGCCGGGGAATATCAATGGATACGTTGAACTGCGACTCGAGCTGGCGTTTTGTCTCACCACCTCGCCCAATCAACGATCGATGTTTTTCGACTGGTACTTCGACGGTCTCGGTCACCTGGCTCTCTCGTTCCGACACTAGGGCATTAATGCTAGCAATGATTTTGTCGACGACGTCCTGTCGCCCTTCGATCTTGATAGCGTTTCCGTCCGCATCTTGTTTGGGAAACTGGATGGTTCGAGCTTGAAGCCGTCTATCTTCGGGGCCGCCGGCTTTGATTACAATGTCGCGGAGAGTAGAACCTATCTCAGGTTAGATTATCGACCAGGAGTATAGTTAATCTGTATACGTACCACCAGGCCCAATCAAACTCTTGTGCCATTTCCTGTCGATTTCGACCGTCTTCGTGACTGTCTCGTCAAACACAGCTTTCTTCTCCTCAATGATCTTTTTGGCTGCAGCGACTTGTGCCTTCGTGCCTTTAATTTGAATCTCCACGGTTGCATCCTCAGCCTCGTTGCGTTCGTTAGGGATATCGATCTTTGCGCCTGTGGCTTGGCGCAGCTCATCCATCCCAACGCCGCCAGAACCAATCAACGATGGAAGCTGCTTTTGCTGAACTGTCACAGTAGCAGTGAAGGAGTTGTCCTTGAGGTATTGGTACAAAGAGAATATTTCGTCTCGCGCCTCATCTGCACCTTTTCTTGGGCCTCTGATTGTGACCTCGTCGGGGCCTTGTTGCCGCCGCGCCTTACCAGTTTCACTTGCAACATCCGCGACGGATTCATCTTCTTTGCCCGGTTTCGTAGTCTTGGGGAAATTGATGTGGACTGAGTAGCGATTCTGGAGACGGTGAATCTGACTGCCTTGGGCGCCAATCAATTCCCGGTGGTACTTCGGCTCGATCTTTAATGTATGAGTCGTTTCATCTGCCCATTGACGAGTAAGAGCTATGATATGAGATTTCGCCCGTTCCGCCTTGGCTTTAGGTCCCTTTAGCTCGACTTCTCCGTTCTGAACTTGGATATCCACGTCGAACTTTTCACGTAACTCGTTGATATGGCTGCCGCCTTTGCCGATAAGGTGATTGGCGAATTTCTGTGGGAAGTCGAATTTTAGTGTAAAGCCACGCTCCTTTTCGTCCTCCTTTTCCTGTTCAACGAAGTCTGAGGCCTTCTTCGAAAGAAACTCTACACTAGAAGCCGGTCCTCGCATAGTAACAGTCGTGCCCTTTACACTGACTCTAACAGGGATATTACCGGCGGCACGGGTTGTCGCATCTTGCTCCTTTTTAATAAACCTACGAAGCTTATCCTGGAATCTGAGCTTATCGTTAGTAAAACAGAGGCATAGCAGAAGACTCTAAGGGAAGTAAATACTTGACTGGGACTTCAAGAGTTTTCGTATCGATTTGCTCCTGCTTGCTAAGGAATTCAAGTATATGTCTTCGCGCGTCCGATAACCCTCGCTGAAATTCTTTCAGCTCGGAGGCAGAAGGTACCTGTTGGGGAACCTGGTACTGTTCTCTGGGCGTAGTCGGCCCTTCGTAGACTAGAAGCACTGGAAGATCACTCTCGGCTGCGTCCGGTACAACCAGGTTAACGCCAAACTCATTCTGGAGTTGGGGTGTAATGTCGCTACGGAGATAAGAGTGGAAGAACGGGTCAACCGGGACTGTTGCTAATCGAGAAGGGGGGTGGCTGTTTATAATCGAGCTCATTTCTTTTTGAGCTTTGATTGCGTTCTTGCCTTCTCTTGCATACAGCTCCCAAGGACTGACTATACCCTCGGAGAAAGGAGTGTTGATATGGATGTGGTAGAGTTTTTCAAGCCTCTCAATCTCGTTTCTTTGACGAAGGTAACGAGATATATCTCTCGAATATGTTGAAGCGCCACCTAAGGTGTGGCTATGGTGTTTCGCAACATCGAAGACAGATGTGTGCACTTGTGTTGCTAGATCCATAGCCTTCTCTAAACCTGCATTTACATCTTCAGCTCGACCAATGACGGTAACAGTATCAATACCAGGCGAGCTAGGCAAGACCACAATGCAATTGGTATCGGCGAAGAAATCTTCCGTGGGAACACCCCGTTCGCCGATGATGAATTGATGCGTACCCTGCCGAATTTCCACTTGATCTAGATGCAATTGATTCTGAAGCTCCTGGACCTGGCGTTCTATGGCAGCTCGCGCGGCCTGAACAGCGGCACGGTCGCCCGCAAGCTGAATATAGTTATCATTGACTGGGGGTGCAAAAGTCGGCCTTTGACCTGCAGCTGGTGCCTGTGGAACAGAAGGAGCCCATGGTTGGTGAGGCGGCACGCGAATTTGTACCCCATGTTCCGCTTCCAAGGCCGCAGCAAGTCTGTTATTAGGGCCAGCTATGAAGGGGTAGAACTCGGCAGGGATAGACTTAAGTTTTGTGCTCACGTTCGCAGACCGTTCCCCAGCAATTTTATTAATAGCCTCGCGAGCTAACGCGGCCGAGAGCGCGTTACCTTCGACAATCACGTCAATAGTGGCATCGTCGTCTTCTTCCAAACTACCCACGGTGTCGTCGACTTTTGGCAACTGGATTCTAGCACCGGATTTCTCCTGGATCGATTTGATGGTGGATCCTTGTTTACCAATTATATGTGCCCTAGCTGACAGCGGAATTGGAACCTTGATGGAAGTCTAAATGAAAAGATTAGCTATGGCGTAGAAAAAAAAAGAAAGAAAGAAAGAAAAAGGAGCGACTAAGCACGACATACCTTAATTCCAATTTGTTGGACTAAATCCCGAAGAGCCTGCTGTGCCTTGTCTTGCGGTCCGGTCGCTTCAAACTTCAGGTGCCCACTGGGGCCCGGAACCGACGAGATTACAGCACGAGACTTGCGGTTGATGTCCTTTATAATGTCTTGGAGGGGACGCTTGAGCTGGCTGCGAGGCATCACATACTGTGACTCCAAGAGGAGAGTCTCGACATTACGACCAGGTATTGAAACAGGCGGTGGGACTCCAATGGGAGTAGAGACTCCCGAAGCTGGGGTGGAAGTCCGAGGGGTGCCATTGGCCGACCACGATGTCCCATTAGCCTTGCCATTCGCACCACCCCAAATTGGAGAAATATTAGCTTTCGGCGCGGCCGTCTTGGGAACACCAAGCTCGGGAAAAGCCTCATGCGACTGGGTATCAAGAGGAACCGACCCTTGCGCCGGCTGCTTCCCAGCTGCTTTGGCGGATGGAGTCTGGCCCCACGAAGCCTTCTCGGGGGCATCGGCGGCCGATGGTGACTTCAGTTCCTCATCCGGGACGTCCTCAATAGTGACATGATGAGAGCTCTCGGCATGTTTCTGGAGGAGCCTCGCGGCTGCGGAACCTTCGATATTGCTGGTTTCGGAAGCCATTTTATAAGTTTACGGAGTTGAATATAAGGTCTGACGGGAAAGAGGACGATCGGAGGACGGAGACAATGGTTACAAATATATAGATTTAGGTAGCTAATGACCTCATGTTAACATCCAAATATAAGTGAGAAAGTTATACATAAATATGATCTATTAGAAGCAACATGAACTAGAAAGTGAGATAAATAGATACTCACTAATCTATATATATATCAATGAGGGGGACACCGGTGAAAGCTAAGATTCGAGAACCAAGGGGAACGGTTTTAGAAGCAAGGAACAATTGAGCCAATTGGAAGAGTAACACGTAGTAGTAGTACCAGGACTGTAGACGACGAGGAGACGGTAGAGATGGAGCTAAATAGAAAGGAAAGCTAGAACATCGTGTAGAGATCGATGAATTCACTTTCTATCTATATCCCGATGAAGGTATCTAATAGGGAAATAGTAAGTAGTTCAGACGGTTAGAGGGAATCCGCCAAATACTTTTTGAGTCAGGACTCAGGAGAGATTCGTGGAGAGGTGAGATGATAGGTTTTTGGTATAGGTGATGCTATAGACAAGAGTAGAGGGTGAGGTGGAAGTTTCCTGGCCCAAAGCAACTTGGCCAACAATTCAACTTTTTTTTTTTTTGACCCGAAGCGATGCCAGGTGGAAGGCAAGTGTAATCCATGCACAGGGCGAACTTAACTACATAGTCGTATGTAATGCACAAGTCCCCTCCCCATAGCCCCACACATCCACACCCCATTTAAAACGAGAGAGGTAGTCTCGAACCCCAACCCAATGGATAGTTGCTGTGGTGTGTTACATAAGCTACATGAGCATGGGAGGTACTACCTGAGATCTTGAGGGCTTGGTCCCAAGCTAGAAAGTTACCTTTTACTTACGTAGGTACCTAACCTAACCTACCTACCTTAGGTACGTACCTGCGCTTCTCTGACAGTGGGCGGTACGGGTTCAACGCGTGTCTTGAAAAGTGTACGCTACCAAATATATAGTACTTTGTAGGTAGGTTATACCTCTATCTAAAGAGGCCTTAGGTATAGGTATTGTACGTATCTAATGTAAGGTATACATATAGTTACGTACTTTTTCGAGTTAGCAACCAGGTGGCACCACCGTGGCACGATCCCAGACGAATTCCGTGATTCAGGCCGATGATAGCTATGGGCTACAAACTACGAGAAAAATAGTAGTAAAGCGTCAACTAGTAGGCGTTGAACTTAGCGAGTAGGGAGTACCTAGGTAGTGTCAGACAGTCTCCATAGGCAATAGGTTTGGTAGGGGATCGGATATCTTGGTCTGTAACGAAATTGACGCTGATCCTAACCGAACCTAGCAATTCGAGTGCATAGTATTCAGGGTGCAGTTCGAAGAAGTAGTGTTTGGCATATATTGAGCTGTCATATATCTGACCCACGTGTCGATGTAGGCACCCTTATGCCTATCAACAATTGGATATGAACATCCCAGTACGCAACCCACCGGGAGCTTGTATGTTGGCTAGGTAGTATACCTTGCTCACTAACACCGCAATAGCTTCGTCTACAATATCTGGTTCAGTTGACTATTTATTTCATCAAGCAAAATGACATTTGGTAAAGGATTCTATATACTAGCTTCGCTCTTTCAAATTCAGGCTAATAATTTATCCTAGGTCCAAGGTACGCAGTCCCGAAGAAAAAGTTTTGGAGTACGTATATCAGTATACGAATTTCTGACCGCAAAATTGTTCTCGGTAGTAGTCTATTGAGGAGGGCCAATGTAAGATTCCCAGTGAAAATTAGTATCATACTATAAACTTAAACGACAATCTTGGTTTTACTGCGGCGTTGAATCTCAAGATCTCCTGATAATTATATTAACACTAGTTCTTGAAAGTAGGTCAAGAGCCAATCGAGACTGCCGATCTAGTGTAACAGGTCGGTTGAAAGATAATGATTGGCGGTTAGGAGAGCCTGAGTTGGAATGAGGTTAGCATTCAGGCGTCAAAATTGCGGCTGATAATTGACCAGCGCGATGAACACATCTAGTAAGTCAGCGCGTATTTCCTCAAGCTATATAAGACGCTTATCGGAATCCGCTGGGGATTGTGTTCCATTGACTTAGTAGGAGAGCCAGGGTGCAATAACATAGCCGTTAGTAAATCCTTTTTTTTTTTTTTTTTTTTTTTTTTTTTTGAAACTTTGATCCTTCTTCTGGCAAACACGAGAGTTACTTTGGTATTTGCACGGGGAACATAGCGAGCATACGTATTTAGTTAATGGCAATCCAAGCTTCAGTGGACCGGACATCCACATCTTAAGGAAAGGTCACGGTGAAAGGTCGTGGAGAGCTTTAGCTTTCATAGCTGCGAGACGGCGGCTAGTAACGTTGGGTGGTTAGCCGACAGGTTTCGGATATTCCCCCCCCCCCCCCTTAGGCAGTACGTAATGTCGCCAAGGTGGGAGCACGGCAAAACATCGTCGATAGTTTATGGACTTGGAAGATGGAAATAAAGCCAAAGATGAAAGTAAATCGAAACAGAACTGTAGAAATAGGCTGTGACTACCTACCTTAAGGGTTGTGAGCTTGAACTTTGAAGAGGGTTGTCGTCAGATCCCACACACCATGAGACAAAGCCAGTCAGCCAGTCCGGTTCTTTAACGGGTGTGTACACTTAGTTGCAGAAGAGCCCGCAAACGAAAATTGAGCCTGAAGTAGCATAGTGGGTGGTTTTAATCCAAGTAAGATAAACTAGGCGATTATTACATTAGGTATGTAGCAGTCTGAGGCTTGCTAGAACATGTAACTAGTAGGTAGTCGAGTAGCCGCCAGAGCCTCTGATAACAATTCAGGGTCTCGTATATCGTATATCATCCCACATAGGATCTTATTTATACTTCCCTCTCCAACGTTGAAAGTTTGACAAGTTGACAGAAGGATGAGCTTATATCTTGTACCTATGTACTGTTCCCGTACTGTCCCTGCACTGTCCTTGCATGTTGAAATACCAGGTACCTACCCCACCACTTAGGTACCTGTAGTTAGGTATATTATGAACATCTTTATTAGGTACTTACTTAATTTATCTATCTGATAGTTATAAATATGTAAATTGTAACTATGAACTAAGTAATTGTGTATAAATAACCTTTAGGTATTGAGAGACTTAAACGTGGTACATACTTGAGCAGAGGGTTATAACCTTGGAAGCTATGCCTACTAGGTACATATTTGCCTATACATACCACTACCAATAACTGCTACACATACACCCCTGTTGTTCCGATCTTGTCCATTGATTTATAAGAGAATAATTAACCTGCCGTTGCAGGGCAGCGCATAAGTGTATGAAGAATTAGAAGAGATTGGCCTAGGTACCGCATTGATATTAGGTAGGTACTCAGATAAGGAACCCAAATAAAGACGGCAGTAAAAGAGAGAAGAAAAAAAAAAGGAATACAAATAAGAATAACAATAGTAATAATAGGGGAGAAAAGAGAGAGAGAGAGAAGAAGAAGGGAAGGAGGGACAGAGAGGAAGGCCTCGAATTACAACCTAGAGCCTAGAGGTAAAGAGCCAAAAGAAACAAACACATATCCCTATCGCCTTGCGTACCCCTCCCTCATCAATCAATTCTTGTCGGGTGTTTTCTAGTCTCGTCAGCTAATGGTTTCATCGCTCGACCCATTTACCTGCAATTTTTAATTATCACATTTTTTTTATAAAAAAAAAAGGAAAAAAAAAAGATATCACTACTACTACCCCTAAAAAATAAGCAAAAAACTGAAAACTCTGTCCCCCCCCCTCCCTACCCCCCTTTTAACCCGTACCTACCTTTAAGGTAGAGATGGACAGCCACGGTACTAACGTCAACGTCCACAGCAATCTGCAACCGCAGCAAGAAAAAGAACAACAACAACAGCAACAACGTCGTAACAGATTAACCAAGAAACCTCCCTCCTCCATCCACACTCACCACCATCACAGTCACAGCTACTCTCTCACCGCTGATGGTCGATTTGACGCCCAATCCCTCAAGAGCAAACGGAGCTCCACGAGCCTGAGGAGAGCTCCAAGCGCTCCCCACAGAACTCCCGCTAACACAATTGCTAACGCTGCTAAGAACGTTGCTAAGAACGTCGCTAACGTTGGCATTAACAACGCGTCAAACTCCGCAGCATCGCCCCGTCTTCTTCCCTCTCCCACAACCACAACTACTACCGCTACCGCCGCCGCCGCCGCCGCCATTACGGTAAATAACCATAACCATAACTATAACAACTCTAACTCCAACCCCAACAAAAACACCACCACTTATTTCTCCTCGCCTTTGCCTTCCCCTGCTAAATTTTTTCCGTCTACTACTTCTTCACCTCACGACTTAGTCTCGTCTTTAACTTCGCCGTCGCCTTCTCGCAACCCGTTTCCCCTCGCTGCCGACGGAGCCGCAATTGGGTCTGGAACCAAAATTGGCACTGGAATTGGGATTGGAATTGGAATTGGCACAGGCGTAGGCACAAGCGTAGGCGTTGGTGTTGAAACAGGCATCGGTATCAGGTATCCGACCTCAGGGCAACGTCTCTCTGACCCCTATCTTCTCCAACCTCTTTCCTCCCAGACCCCCGAGGAGTTTATCGGCGCGCCCTTTGACGGCAACTCCATCCTTAGTCATTTCGACGCTGCCAAGTCGCCCACGTATCAATTTTCCTCCCAAACCCGACCGCCACCACCACCGTCGTCGAATTCAAGTCCCGGCCCACGTGTAATGAGCCCTCCTGCCCTGCGACAGTCGACTAGCTTCTCCGCCTTAGACGCCAACATGTCAGAGAAGTCCCATGGCGCGCGTGTCAACGAGAGTCCTGTCGTGCCCCCGAAACGATATTCCGATGAATCTAAAGACCTCAAAGGTCCTGGCGTCTTAAGAAAAAAATCGGGCTTTTCCGGCCTCATGAGCACATTGGTGGGGTCACCCAAGAAACCCGTTATATCGGCGCCAGAGAACCCCGTTCACGTCACGCATGTCGGCTACGATAGTTCCACAGGCCAGTTCACAGTAAGTTATGCTCATGCCGTACCCTTCATCGTCGTCTCGAACCCGGCCTCGCTCTGTTGCTGACTTCTCTGTAGGGCTTACCCAAAGAATGGCAACGTCTAATCAACGAGAGTGGTATTCCGGAGAATGCTCGAAGGGAAAACCCGCAAATGATTGCGGATATTGTCACATTCTATAAAGAGACCACGGAGAAGCCTCACGAAGATCAAGTTCTGGAAAAGTTTCATGATGCGAGAGCTACTGAACTGCGCGCCCAATCTGGTGGAATGGCAACATCCCCTGGCATGTATGCGTCAAACTATGCGGGTATGTCACCTATGATAAGTCCACCAGCAAGTCCGAGATTTCCAATCGTGAATAATGAAGGCACCTTCGAGAACCCCCGCGCGCCCCCTCCTGTACCCGTACCTGGGAAGAGCCCGGTGCTGCATTCCATCAAGGATCACCCCAACTTGCAGCCCAGCCGACCTGCACCGAAACCCCCCCTTTCTCTACAGAGTCGAGCTGCACAGCAACTGCCCTATGCCACCAAAGACTCGGGCATAGGCATGGCGCAGGCCGGCGAAGATGGACATTCCACGGGATCCCACGTTTCGCCACCGAAGGAGGGTGTCCCCATGCTCCCCGAAGAGCACAGATCGAGGTCGAGATCAAACTCGCGAGTTAACGGGTCCCAACCCCATACGCCCGTCGGCCAGCCGTCACCGGCCGTCCAGGCGGTTTATCAGCATCAACTAATGCAGCAGCAGCAAGAACAGGCTATGGCTCAAGCTCAGGCTGCTATGGAGGGCCAACTTGGCAGGTCTGCTAGTACCAAGCAGCCCCCCGCGCAACCAATGCTGCCGAATTCGCAGCACCAAATGGGTCGCGTCCCCGAGGCCAACGGTGCCGGCAACGCGGCCTATCCAGCACGAGCAGTACCGGCGCAGCAGTCGCGCCCCCGCAATCGACCGCGGCAAAGCAGCAGCATCGATGTGGCAGCGGCGCTAAAACGTATCTGCTCTGAAGGTGATCCTCGCGAGATATACCGCGGCTTTACTAAGATTGGCCAAGGTGCTTCCGGGGGCGTCTATACCGGCCACGAGAGGGGATCGAATCGACTAGTAGCCATTAAGCAGATGAACTTGGAGCAGCAGCCAAAGAAAGATTTGATCATCAACGAAATCTTGGTTATGAAAGAGAGCTCTCACCCGAATATCGTTAACTTCATAGATAGTTACCTATGTGGTGGTGAGCTATGGGTCATCATGGAATACATGGAAGGAGGTAGTTTGACTGACGTTGTTACTTTTAATATAATGACGGAAGGACAGATAGCGTCAGTTTGTAGGGAAACGCTGAAGGGCCTCCAGCATTTACACTCTAAGGGAGTTATACATAGAGACATCAAGTCTGATAATATTTTGCTGTCACTGGATGGTAATATTAAGCTCAGTAAGTCAAAACGCTTAAACACTCCTCACACAAAGGTTCGTTGGACTATAACCTAATTTCTCCCCTTTCCGCAGCCGATTTCGGATTTTGCGCACAGATCAACGAGGCGCATAATAAGCGGACCACGATGGTTGGGACGCCGTATTGGATGGCACCCGAAGTGGTCACTAGAAAGGAGTACGGAAGGAAAGTTGATATCTGGTCTCTGGGTATTATGGCCATCGAGATGATAGAAGGAGAGCCGCCGTATCTCACCGAATCGCCGCTCCGCGCCTTGTGGTTAATCGCTACTAACGGCACACCGCAAATCAAAGAAGAGCATAATTTATCTGCAGTATTTAAGGACTTCCTATATTTTGCCTTGAGGGTGGACCCAGAGAAGAGAGCAAGCGCACATGATTTGCTTCGGGTATGTGTTTACAATTTCCTGCGCAGAGCTTGAGACTCGCTGACTTTTTTACTTTTTTTTTTTTTTTGGCACAGCACGATTTTATGAAGATCTGTGTCGACCTGTCGACATTATCACCGCTTGTCAGGGCCGCCAGGGAAGCCCGGCTAGAAGAAAAGGCTAATAAAGGTCAATGAAATTTGCTTGTTGATCGTATTGCAGCATCTTGAGGATGTTGGAATAAGTTGAGGTGGTTTGCCTTTGAGCTTTGAATAAGTGTTACTATCCCGCATTTCAAGGATATGTCGAGCTGGCGGTGACCGAAGCATCTTGCTATAACCTTCACCTAGCTGATTGCGCTACACTACAACTCAGGCTTGTGGGGATGAGGGTTAGGGGGATAAAAAGGAAATATCAATAACAATTAACGAAGGGTTCCGAAATCCTATTAAGGGGCTGAACCTATACTTGTACATAACGACGCGATACCACCCTTTGGACGGTGTTCATTTGGACATTAGAGCGGGACTAGACGAAACGGACGTCCTCGAAACAGATCATTTAAAATACCCCGGCACCCCTATGTAGCTGAAAGGTACTTTGGCTATCCAAGGGCCGTGACTCGGACAGAACAGCTCGGCTTATAGGGACTACGATGCGAAGTGAAACAGAAATTAGGATATTTTGAGTCTATCTGAGGAATTCAATCGGATACTGGGCGTTGAAATGTACAAATATAGATCTGTTCCACATATTGATGTCATGTATAAGGGAATATACTAGTTTGTTAAGGTTTGGCTTGCTATTATCTATCTCTGATCTTGTAGATTAGAGGGAGGAAGTTGAAAGAAAGAAAGGAAGAAGGTTGAGCTTGTCTATATGACAAGCTCCATAGGTGATTTGTCTACATAACATCATTAGTCTGGGGCATTATCAACATAAGATTCCATATTAACGTGGATTCCGAGCTTATATATATTACCTCAACTCACCCACTTGGTAGTCGTGTTGGTAGATATAGAAATCAAACACAGAGGTGGTTGCAAACAAAAATGATTCAGGGGATTAATTCATGATTAGGAAGCAAACGTTTACTTCCCTACTCTATTCCGTGTACCGCTCGAAGCGGGTGCTAGACATGAGTTCTGCTGTACACCATCCCGTATTCCGCGACCCCTCTGTATAGCTAGTCCGGGGAATCCACCTGAGGGTAGTCTATCTTCTAAGAGCTATTCTGATGTTTCCTCGTCAGAAAAAAAAGGCGCAAGTTCTTCTTTCCCTGTCTATGATGGTTATGTGGTATCAGTCCCCGTTCCCCCCCGCCCTTTTTTTTTGTCCATGGCGTGTATGATAAAGCTGACTCCAGATTTTCCCACGACAATTATGTAAAATTGAAGTCTATGCCGCACATCATCCCCCCCCCCAACAACAAAAAAGAAAATCGAACAATCATGCTAAAAAAGTTGTACCCAATGAGCTCCTCCTCAAAACATAGCCGGAAATCGTTCTGATATATACATACGAAGCGTTTCCGGCTAGGTACGTAGGGGCGAATGGGCGGTGTGTAAGACGACTATTAGGCTCGAACGAGTAAATTGTGTGGCGAGAAAGATGGCTTGTCAAAAGTCTTCTTGAACATGTGTGCTTGAATGCGGGTGTTCACGATGCATAGGAGACACATAGTACCACAACGTAACGCAAAACCCCTCGCGCTGAATGAAACATGATTTGATTGCACTCCAGCACCAAGCTTCCGAGCCATTAGGACGTTACGAGCGAGCTCTGGCTAAAAGGACCAAAACTGCCATGTTCGCGTACACACCACGCCGCATATGTTGTCTCAACATACCAGGCTGAGACGGTTATATTGGGGTTGGCTTATAGGACAGTGTAGCCACCGTCGATGGCCACGTTAGCGCCCGTCATGAAGCTGCTAGCATCGCTAGCGAGGAAGACGCATAGGCCATTAAGCTCGTCGACGTTACCGAGGCGAGCCTGTGGCGTCAAAGAGCGCCAGATCTTCTTCTGGGCCTCAAGGGCGGGTACACGGTTCAGCGCAGTGTCCATGTAGCCGGGAGATATGCAGTTCACACGAATGTTGTACTTGGCCCATTCGGCAGCCAGAGACTTGCCGAATTGGATAACGCCGGCCTTGGACGCATTGTAGCACGACTGTTCCTGGGGATAGTTGACGATGCTACCGCTCATACTAGCAACAAGAACAATGGATCCAGGCTTGCCGGCAGCCATCATCGCACGTCCGACCGACTGGCTCATCAAGAACGAACCCGTCAGGTTGATGTCAATCAGGCGGCGAAACATAGCCGGGTCGTAAGTCTCAGCCTTGATGTTGGAGTCGGCAATACCAGCGCTGTTGATCAGGACGTCAGGGGCACCGTAGGTCTCGACAACGGCGTCGACGGCAGCATTGATGGCGGCACCGTCACGAACATCGACCTTGAAGAAGGAAACGGGGAGTTGGGACTTCTGGTGTAATTCGGCAGCGGCTTCGTCACCGAGCTCTTGGTTCGCATCGAAGATGATGAGAGCCTTAGCACCAGCCTCAGCACAAGCACGGGCCATATGATTTCCGAGACCTCGAGCACCTCTGTATCGATACCTTATCAGCAAAATCCGTTCCAAAACAGCTCCACGTAGCAAACACGACTTACCCGGTGATAATAACAACCTTGTCCATGATACTCATCTTCTGCATCGTGGGGGGCATCTGACGGTAGACGGCCTTGGACAGTGGGATGACATCGGTGTCCTCAGGGGGAGGAAACGGCTTCGGTGTGGCATCGTCACGATTTACGGGGATACTGAAGTGATCGCTTGTCGAACCAGCGGCGCCCGTCGAGTCAGGGGAGTAGACGGAAACTGGAACTTCGGTCTCGCGTACTACATCGCTCCGTAGTCGCACGGATGACTGGCTGAATGCTCTGTGGGCTACAGGAAGAGATCGGGAGATGTGGGCAGATGCACGGGTGGTGTTAAGGAGGGGGGCCATAGCCTTGGTGAGACGGAGTGCTGAGCGACCGGACATTGTAGCAGATGTTGTGTTTTCTATGATGTATGTGTTTATGTGTGTATGTGTGTATGTATGTGTGTACGTATGAACGTATGTATGGGCGTAAAAGTATATAGGTGAGAGTTTATTCAAGTTGAGGGTATGATAGGGATTCTTGAAAATAGGATGTGGCGGAGATGTGCGAAGTCTTTTAAAGTTACCAAAAACTCTGGAGACAAATGACAAAGCAGCAATTGACTTTTTTTCTCTCCTAAGTTAGAGGGGGGCCACAGGCTAACCAGTCAATTTATGGAAACCTATGGGAACGTCAGGGGGAGTTTTCAATGGTAGAAAAATCCGAAATCGGGGGGGAGCTCCGCGAGAGAGAAAAAAATAAAAAATAAAAAGAAATCCTAAGTTCTAGGATTTTGCGGCTCGTGTGTAAGATTCAAGGTCACAAGACGACCTTCGTTAAATTGGAAGCTAGATGGGTTTCGTGAACTAATACTGTAGTCGTGGTCACGAGCTGGAGCAAATATTTGTTTTTATACGTTCCGTGCTCGAACTGGAACTCCTACAGGTTCGTCTAAGCCAGGGGGGGGGAGACCCTTGGAGTATGTCTTTAGATAGTACGTGTAAGTCGTAAGTCGTAAGTAGTAATGGTACCTGGCTGCTTGGTAGCAAGGTCCCAGGTATGAGTGGGGAAATGAATAGAGGATAAGGTATCAACTAAAATGTCTTGTACCTAGCTGTCTCGGTTTCAAGATGGCTTCGCAGCTGGGAGAGACTATGTAGATCAGAGATCAGTGAGAGAAAGAGAGGAAAAGAAGAGAGAGAATAAACAGCAAACTGGAGGTAATCAGTCGTAGGAAAAGGACCGCTATTTCTACTTGATCGCTATCGCATATTCCTTCCTTTCCCCTCGATAAAGTATGGATTTACTTTTCCTAACAGTTGTCAAGATTTGCATACTTCTTTCCCAATCTCTATGTGATCCTGTCAGCCTGTCAGGCCTATATGATACATGGCAGGTTAAACGAAAGGGTCCGTCAGATCTGGGTCAGCAACTACACTACTACCTAGCTAAGGTATGTAGACGATAGACCGCCTTCTCCCGTTCGCCCTAGACCCCGTTGATCTGAGGTATCTAACTTCGCTAACTCCGAGCGACGTGACGGGATATGTTTGTACCTAGGTACATAGTACGAATGTCAACCAAGATACACATATATAAAAAGAGGAGACGAAACCAAGATCACCGTTTCTATTACGGAGCAGCGGTGCAATGTTCCAATACATACCTATGTAGTACCTACTTTCTGAAAGATACCTTAGGTTAGGTACCTAAGCAGCTAAATTTCTAGGTACCCACGCATGTCCAAGGTCCAGTGGTCTTACCTAGACGCCATCCATCTCGGATGTGCATGTAAGGTATATGTCATATGTGGCGGATAGCTACCTAAGGTACGTATGTGACTTATGCGGGACAGATAAGCTGGTTTACCTTAACTGCTCTAGTACAAAGTACGGGTTAGGTAGAATTGAAATTTACTATTATTATTTCAATTTTTTAAATTTTTTTAATAATGTTGGCTCATGATTTTGGGCCTATGGTATTGCAGTAGCTCTGGACCCTAATGGACTTAGCAAACTGCCAAGCAGCCCCGAGAAGTAACCAAGCAAATGCCCAGACTCTGCCAAGCCAATCCATAAAACCGACCCGACGGGGCCTTAAATGGAAAAAATGGGGGTTGTGGAACACTATGGGACGCTATGGGGTCCGGCATGCAGCCCGGGTGGGGCTCTGGTCTCCATTTAGCTCTATCTTACAGCTCCATCTTATGCAATAGCACAACCTTTTTTTTTTTTTTCTTATTCTTTTTTTTTCTCAGGTTAGGTAGGTATTTACCTAGCACCTTTGCGTGGAGTTCTTCCAACACCCTTCTAAAGAAATTCTAAACTAACCTTATTCAACATCGTCGGATATCAACGCCCAACGCACACAAATAACTGGAGAAGTCGCCGCAAGATTTTATTTGTACCGTGGTAAGTACCCCTCCCCCTTTTTTTAGTGAAACCGCCGGGAACGCCTTTAAGAGAAGTCGGCGTGGGGGTTTTACGACTTCCTCGTAGTAATCCTTACAGCTTGACATACATCAACGCGCTTCCTAATTTCCTTTAAAGTCGATAATGATTACTCTCATAGGTACATAGTGTATCTGGCCGTCCGCCTAAATCATTTCCCTAGTTTGCAGTAGACTGGCTGAAGTAGGATTTTTTTTTTTCAGAACACGCGGGCACATAAATAAACCACTCAACTAGGTAGCCAATGAAGATTACTCGGATGTGATCGAAAATTTACTACGTTTGCGGGTATACCTACCAAATAAGTGACATGGTCTTGATGCTCCTTTGTTTGGAATCCATACAAAGTTTTCAGTGAATGTTGGTGTAAAGAATGATTTTTGACATATCTCGAAGTCAATAAATTTACGGAAATACAAAGGTTTTTAAGTAAGCACCCATGGCAGCTTGTATAGCAAGCATATTAAAAATATAGACCAGAATACTATAAAGGAGAGAACCACAGCGCCGGCAAACTTCACGATGGTAGATGTACCTACCTAATTTAACATTTATAAAGCTAAGAGCGCGTGCTTTCTGGGGTATTAAAACCCACGCGGAGATTATGCGCCAAATACCTGGGTATACAATCGAATTCGTGGGGTCAGAGTCACCCGCACCCGTCAGCATCTACTATCAATTAAGGCGCATGTTGAGGCCACAAAACATCGTAACTACGAAAATTATCTAAAATTTCGAATTCCTACTAGCTATCTCTTATAGTAGCTAAGTTCTATTATAATTCAGACCATTAGTATATGGGTTGAATATAATATACATACTTTATTATGTGTACCTAAGGTAAACGGTATCTTTCTCATAGGTTAATTGAAAAGCTCCGATTTGCGGCTCTGTCCGTCACAACAGACCATGCAGCCTCGCGCGACCCCCTCCCCTTAGGTAGATTAGATCTACCACAGGCAGGCGCACGAACATTCAGGTTTCTTTTTACCCATCTCGGGATATCAATATTACGTATATACACAAATCACGTTCGGTATCACATAATTCCAGACCTCTTAGAAATGCACCTACCTACCTAACCTAAGGTAGTCGTGTTAAACATGTAGCCTGTTGTTGTCCCACCGATAATCCACAAGTGATCAGCATTGAAAATTCAGCAAGGCCTATCCGAATAGACAGGATTTGCTCACTCTGCATCGTCTACCAGGCAGCCAAGGTAGATGGACGAGTAAGATACCATTTTACCGCCAAACCAAACAACGCCATGCGCATGGCTCGTTACTACATACCGACGAAATTTAATTTGGGACGTTCCGTTGTGCTACGTAGCTATCTACCTAGATAGTACTACATAATCGATACATACCTAACCTTGTAGTTGACAAGGGGATCTCGCCAAGGAGATGCAGAGATTTATTATACCTACCATTTTGCAGGCGGTGTACGTATGTACTACGTTATATAGTGTCCATACCTATCCTAACGTATACTACATACTGTGGTAGTCGTCCGAAGCAGGTGTTACCGAACTTCTCTTTTCCACCCTCTTCTCCAAATCTCCACCCGCCACAGATTTTCTTTTCACAGTGGACGCCTGCTGATCGTTCGAATTCAAGGGCATTCCCACTATATGAGGTATTATTCACCAATGCTGTTCATATTCTTAGCTTACCGCGCGAGTAGTGTACCTTCTGACCTTATGGCTAGACCGAGCTGAAATAAGCTTTGATGCCGGGAGAATCCCAGTTAACATATCCAGCGTAGTGCACGGTAGCTTGCTCGCCGTCGTTCTCCCGCTGACGCCCGCCCCTCGTAAGCGGCTGGCCTTGCATTAGGTAGGTACATAGGCGAACTTCGGCAACATGCCGCGAGTAGTCATCTAAAACACCCCGAACTGGCTCCGCCTCGGACTCCATACTGACGCAATACGTGCTACCGGATACTTACCGGTATCAACTAATGCTATGTTGTGCTCTTACTTGAATCCTGGGGCACTATCCCGAAGCGATCTAAAAGTAGCTTGGCCGCTATCACCTAGCTACCGTGACTATGGAAATAAAACTACCTATCCAGCATGCATTCCGCTATATCCGTATTCACTCGAAAGCGGACTTGCTTAAGATTACTAGTTGAAACGCTCAGTCGAGCGGTTGGTCCTCATGATCCCCAATCTCTGTCTTTGGAGGGTCTGAGACCTAGCTGGACGAGTCATTCAGAACTGTATGGTGTGCCGTTTCCTTCGATATCACCCCAAGAGTTCATTCGCGATACTATGCGCCTCACTTCCGCCACTCCGGTGCTCCTCTTTGCTAGGTTTTATATAATAGCGGCGTAAGATTTTCAAGTCCCTCCCACAAAGTAGAGTTCTAAGCCATCCCCCTCACTTAGAGCCGACAGCTTTAACGAGACAACTATGAGGGTTTACGGGGTTCTATATTAACTGCTGTATCGGCTGAAAAGAATCCCATTCTCACGTTTATTTTTGAACATTCGTCATAGGCCGCGTTTGTTAACGTGTAGGGTATGAGGTTGAGACCTATAGGGAGCTACATCGAGCGGTGCGATGTTCTTTTCTCCTAACAAGAAACTCGACCATATAATCGGCACGTTCCTCCATCTTTCTATACCAATTATATACCGGCTCACCGCTATAAACCGGGTATTGCTCTTATTCAGCTTATTCAATAGTAAAAGGCGACTTAAAAAGTCGGATTGAGTTTTATACTAGGAATCTCCACAAACGCAAGAGCTTGTATTTTTTTTTTTTTTTTTTAAAAAAAAAAAAAAAAAAGAACGCTACACCCGGAAGGACCGCATGGGAACAGAATGGATGACAGGTAGGTGCTTAACCTATAAATACCTTTGGTGTCAGTCACGACTGCAAATTGGTTGTTCTCTGTAGATAATTTTCCCATGTCTGATGAACTATTAGAGCTGTTCAATATGCTGTAGCCTCTTCTTTTCCCGCTGCTCTATGTAGACATCCCCTTCTTTACCTTAACCTATACCTATGCACCGCCGTAGTTTTATTAATCGCCATGAATGCGTATCACATTCCCTCCTTTTTCCTTTCTTGTATTCTCTACTTCTTCTCTCCCGCGCTAGCTTCCTCTGCCCTAGATGAGGATAAGGCTAGAACACGAAGCTCGTTCCCTATTCTCAATCTTCCATACGCATCGTACAGAGCAGCTAGATACGATAGCATGAATGATATGTGGGCAAAAATAGGGTCATGCCGCTTAAAACAAGACAGATAGTACTAACGGTGCAGTACAGCTACACTTTCAAGAATATTCGCTACGCGGCACCTCCGGTCGGTGCTCTGCGTTGGGCTAAGCCCGCACCTCCGTTGAACCAATCCGGCATTCAAGACGGGGGTATCGGCCACTCTTGTATACAGGCTGCCCCAAACGGATTAAACTTACTCGGGACTGGTAACCAGTCTCCAATGGGAGGAGCCATCAACCAGCTGTGAGTGTGTTACGTTAGGTAGTAATCACGGAGAAACACTGGAGGTAAACTTTTCTGATAATATGGCGAAAGCCTTGGGGGTATTCCGCTTCCCATATTCTCAGGCGGTAGTGAAGACTGCCTGTTCTTAGATCTTTGGTATGCTTTCTATATAAGATGATCCGTCCCCAAAAAAGATCTGATAAGGACTAATATTCTCAATAGTACGTAAGAGCGGACGCATCTACCTCGAATCTCCTATTTAGTTTACTTACATTTATTAGATGTTCCCGGAAAGGCTTTGGAAACATCCTCTGAAAAGTTACCGGTCGTGGTGTTCGTATGTGGTGGTGCGTACGTCTTCGGGAGTAAAGACTCACTACAACCCGAATTACCGTTCTATGATGGGACTGGGCTCATATCACAGTCGGGCAACAACATGATATTTGTAGCGATGAATTATCGTGTAGGGGCTTTTGGCTTTCTTGCTGGAACGACCATGGAGAATGAAGGCGTTCCGAATGCTGGCCTCTGGGACCAGGTGAGCACACATGAGAGTCTAGGAACGATGTTGACCCTGACTCATTTCAAATAGAGAGCAGCCTTTCGGTGGGTTAAGGATTACATTTCCCTAGTAGGTGGGGATCCGAGACGAGTGACAGCTATAGGACAGTCTGCTGGAGGCGGAAGTATCATGCATCACATTGTTGGGCAGGGCGGGAAGCTTGACCCTTTATTCTCTAAGGCTATATTGCTATCGCCGGCTTTCGAATACATGTGGGATCGAGCTGGTACAGCCCAGAAGAAATTTGAGGCCTTTGCAAGATTAGCCGGCTGTGCAAGTCAAGGTGTTTCGTGTTTACTGCGAGCTGATGCGTCTACTCTTGCTAACGCAAATACGCAGCTGATGAAGCAGCAGTATTCGGGCACCTTTGCTGTCGGTCCAACGCCTGACGGATCATACATACGGCAGCTTCCTGTGCTAGAGCTAAGCACGGGCAATTTCTGGGACATAGAGTCGCTCGTCTTGTCCCACACTATTGCAGAGTCGAACGTGTTTGTTAATGGCGTCGTACGGACGGATAAGGATTTTGCATCGTTCGTCGACACCATATTCCCAAATTACACTCAGGCTGCGAGAATCGCGGATAAGGTAAGTGCTTTCTACACGGTCTCAAGGCAGTCGAAATATAAATCAGAGACGGACCGAATGCAGGCTGTCGTCCGGGATAGCAGCTTCACGTGCAACATTCGGCACCTCACAGAAAGCTTTGGCAGCCTTAAGGTCTGGAATATACAGTACGGAGTATCGCCTGGGTGGCATGGAACAGACCTCTTCCCAATTTTCAGCTCCAAGCTTAGAGGCCGAAGCTGGCTTGAGAATCTTGCGGCGCTGATGACACCGGGTATCGGATGGCTCGTTCCCGGCATCAGCGTAGCGTTGCAAAGCTACCTTACGAGCTACATCGTCACAGGCGATCCTAACACCGGCCGCAAAATATTCAACCTGCCGCCAACAATCAAATGGGACCACCCGAGTAGCCAAGGTGAGCAGATCTCGGGGGTGGTTAACGTTGGCAATTAGGGGTTTAGCACGGTACGAGATACCCAAACCGAGAAGACGGCATGTGATTTCTGGAAAGACGTCGCTGCTGCCGTGACTAGTTTAGGAGGGTATTCACCTCCTGGCGCCGTAGTGCAACAAAGGTTAGCTGAGGTACAAGATTCGAGTGTGAACTACAACGGTGGGAATCGACGTATTGCTGTAATAAAAGTTTAGGTCTTGGGTGGGTAAGAGAGGTTCTAGTTAGCTATTGTTAAGTAGAGAGTGTTGTGTTTTTTATTGAAAAGATATTTGCATACGATTATGGTGTTTGGTTTAGTTGGCGGCTTGGGTAAAGTACGGGTATAAATCTTTTTATACGCCCAGGAAATTACTTGCATAGTACCCATGCCTATAGTAGCTTGTGCTATATATAGCTGTGGGGTTATTGAGGATTTGGTTACTATACGAATTTTAGAAATTATTTGAATAATATATTATTTAATTAATTTATAATATATTATAACGAGAAAAAAATTAAATTAAATTTTTAATATTAAACGTATTATAAAATTATATAAAATTTTTTAATACATTACGTAATTATATTAACAACCGTTAATAACGCAAATTTATAATATCATTACGTAAAAATATTATTATTAAACGTATGTTACGAACTAACGGGCCGATGAAGTTATACCGAGTATAGAAGCGGGGGATAACTAATAACGTTTTCGGTTAAACCTCGGATAATTGGATTTTATAGATTTTATTAATCTTAAAATCTTATAAGATCCATAAGATCTTTAAAAACCATAAGAACTATAAAATCTTAAATGAAAATAATATATAAGTAAAAAAATTTATAAAATATTTAAATTATTATATATTTAATTATTTATTTATATTTTTTTAATTATTAATTTAAATCTTATATTTAATTTATATAAGGAAAAAAACTTTAAGCTTTTTTAATAAATACTTATAATATTTTATTAATACTTAACTTATATTATTATTATTTATTTAAAATTAAAATTTTAATTATTATATTTTAACGGATTTAAATATAAATTCGTTATATTTTAATAATTCTTTAATTAATATTATTATTAGTTAAATATAATATAAATATTAATTTTAATAATAATATTTTTTTATTTATATAAATTATTTATAATTTATTTATTTTAAAATATTTTTTAAATAAATTTTTTAAAAATTAATTATTAATTAAAATTAATTAAATAAAAAAACGTAATAAACTTAATATATTACTTTTTAATTATATTTTAAAATTAATTAATAATATAATCTTAATAAAAATTAAGTTTTAAGTAAAAATATTTAAGCTTAAAGATAAAGTAAAAGAAATTATTAAATTTATTAATAAAAAAAAGAAAAAGCTTTAAATAAAAAAAATAAAATAATTATTTTAAAAAAAGGACTTTAAAGAGCATATAAAGCTCACTTAATATTAAAGGATAAAGTAATTATTTTAAAAAAAGAATTAATTAAGCTTAAGTAAAAATAAAATAATAATAATAATAAAAAACCTAACTTATATTTAGTACAGTAAAATATTACAGTTCCATTATTATTTAATAAAAGATTTAAACTTTCTTTATTATTTAAATATAATGGTATTACTAATATAAAAATTTAATTTAATATAATTAAACTTTATTTAACCTTTTTTAAATTAGTTTTAATAAAAATAAGCATAAAATCTTAATAATTTATTAATACTTTAAAAGAAACGCCTTTAAGTGGTTTTAATCTATTATAAATAATTATCTAAACGAAATTTAAGAAAAAATGGAAAAGTTTAAATATATTTTTAATAAATATATTAATTTTAAAGATAAAATATAATTAATATTTGGAAATTTATTTAAAAAAGAAAATATTTATAAAGTTATTTAAAATTTTAAATAAATTAAAAGAGTTTTAAAATATATTATTAAATTTAAACGATTGGCAATAATAATTTAACTTTTAAAAAATATTTAATTTAATAAATTTTATAAAAGATTAATTATTTAAATTAAAGATAAAATTTCGAAAAAAAGGCTTAAATATATTAATAAATATATTAAATAAATTATTATTTATAATAAAAAATTATATAAAAGATTTTAAAAAAATAAAATTAAAAAAATTATTTATATTTAAATTAAAAAAGAATTTAAGGAAATAAATTTTAATACTATTAAAATAGAAAAACTTAAAAAAGATATAATTAAAGTTAAATATTATAATTATAATAAAATAATTTATATATTTAAAAATTATAAAGTACTTTAAAAACAGTTTAAAATATTAAAAAAATAATTTAAACTTAAAATTATAAAAATAATATCTTTAAAAATATTTAATATTTAAATTGTTTAAATTATTTAAAATATTAAAAATTATATTATTATTAATAATTATTATTAATAATTTAACCTTTATAAATATAATTAATAAAATTGTTTATACTATTTTAATAATAATTGTAATAAACTTACACTTAAGTCCGTTAAAGTATAATAACAGGGGTCTTGATTTTAAGTAAATAGTAGCGATATGAGTTAAATATTAATAAAATGTTAAAAATGTTTATTAAAAAAACTTAAAGTCCTTCTTTTTATATAGGTTAAATATAAGATTTAAATTAATAATTAAGGAAATATAAATAAGTAATTAAATATATAATAATCTTAAATACTTATAAGCTTTTTTTTATCTTTTATTTTAAAGTTATTATAATCTTAATAATCTTATTAATTTTGTTAAAATTAATAAGATTAATAAGATTAACGAGATTATTATTCTCCATTAATTTATCCGAAGTTTAATTGCTTAATTATACGTTTTAAGAACCCCGTTTCTTTATAAAATATAGTTCTTATGCTATTAGTTCGTAATATTATTTTCCTTTTCCCAAGTTTTTTATCTTTAAAGATTTCTTAGTAAACGTATTTCTTATAATATTTTTTTTCATTATTTTTTAATTAATTTATTAAAATGTTAAATTATATATTTAAGTCCGTTATAAAAAATAAAAATCGTATTAATTAATAAAAAAGTAAAAAACTTTAGGTTTTTTTAATTAAATTAGTTAAAGTTTTATATATATTATATTTTAATTATATCCATTTTGGAAAGCCTTTATATTACTTTTTATTAAGTCTTTCCTTTTATAATGTTTATATTAAAAAGAATTATTATTTTAATTATAACGTATTAAAGATGAATTTTCTGATTAAGTTAAAATAAGAGTTAGATTTTTTTAAAAACGAGTAATGTTAAATAAAAGATAAGATCGTTTGTTTAAAAAAGGAGATAATAAATCGTTTTAAACGGGTAAAAGAAAGTTAAGAAAATATTTCCTATTGCTTTACTTGTTTTAAGGAAATTTATTATAAAGAAAATGTTGCGAAGGGAAAGGCCCTTATTATTTTTTAATATAAAGAAAAATTGGATCGTAAAAAGGAAGAAAAAAAGGAGGGTAGAAGTTAAAATACCTTTAATTAAGCTAATCCGTTTATATTTCCTAATTCTTCCGGGGGCAATCCCGGCGGGGCTATTGTTTTTTAAGATAATTTTAATTTAAGGATAAATTTATTACTATTTATAAGTAATTAAGATTTTTTTAGTAAAACGCTTTTATAAGTTCTTAAATGTTTTTAAAATATTTAATTAATTCTTATATATTTTCCTTTAATAAATAATCTTTCTATTTAATTAAATATTTAATTTAATTTTTAAATTATTTAAAGTTTAATATTTTTTTAATTTTATATTTTTAATTAGTTTTAACATTTAAGGTAATTTATATTAATGCATTTTTAAGTACTTTTTTAATAAGGAAATATAAAATATTAAATGTAATTTTATTTTTATTAATAATAATAATTTATAATTAATTTCTAAAATAACTTTTTTAATTTTAAAAGGTTTAAGTTTTTTATAATTTAATTTATTACTTAATCTTTTAATTTTAATATTTCGTTATAATAAATAAACCTTATTTCCCTTTTTAAAAATTAATTCCTTAATTTTATATTAATTATTATATCTTTTTATTTTTACTTATAAAAATTTAAGTTTATTTATTAAATACTTTTATATAATAATGATTTGTTTTATTATAGCTTTTGCCTTAAGGATAAATGTTTCTTTTATATTAATTAATTTTATAATAATGAAATTGTAATTAATATTTACTTTAAATAAAGATATCTTTATATTTTTATTTATAAAATTATTATATATAATCTTTACTTATGGTAATAATTTTATTTAATTATCTTATATTTTGTTAATATATATGTAAAAATACTATTTTAACATTTAATTTAAACGTTCCATTTATCCATTTAATTGTAAATGGTATATTATTAACAGTTTTTGTTTTATACTTATTTTTATTATTAAGTTAATTTAAAATTTAAATATAAATAACTTATTTTTATTTAAGATAATATGTTCTAATAATTTGTGTTTATTAATTATATACTTAAAAAATGTATAAGTTAAATCTTTAATTATATTAAATTCTTTATAAAGTATAAAATATTTATATTTAATTAATTTATTAATTATTACTTATATATTATTATATGGTGTGTTAATTATAGGTTTTTTTAATAATGGTAATTTAATAATAAAATCCCATGCGATAATTTTCCAAGCTTTATCCGGGATTTCCGTAAGTTATATAAGCTTATATAGCTTATATTTAATTACCTTTATCTTATTACACATATTATAATTACTAATTACTTTTTTAATTATTTTGGATAAGTTTAAGAAATTATAATCTTTTGTGATTTATTATATAATTTGGAAAATTCTTTAATATTTATATAATAAATGTTTATAATATTTCTTAACGAATTTATATTATAAGGCTTTAAGTATATATATCTTATTTAAGTATGTAATTATACTTTTTTCCGTTTTAATATCTGCAAGTAATTCTTTTGTAAGTAACGCTTTTTTAATATGTGTTATTTATGTACTATCTTTTTCCGTAAGATATAATGCTA